TGCCCTTCAAATTCCATCATCTACTCTACGTCTTTGTAAATCTGACTCCGTCTGTGGCGGTTGAGAAAGGTCACGCTCCTAAGCCTGGAAACCTCATGTATTCAGTTGTTCATTTTTAGCTGTAGGAGTGTCAAAAGTGACACATATCTGTAATTGACCAAAATATGGAAGGAGTTAGGATTAGCCCCAGGCAAAATTTTAAGAAGGTAAATTTGTCTTCTTTGTCCTAGCCTTAACTTTATGTATACTTTTTTCCATTCCTATGGCACCTTCCCCTCTTTCCCACACCTAATACCTTCATCTTCACTATCTCTCCAACCTCTCTTCTCCAAAAACTTCTCTGAGCTATGGATAAACTCAGCAATGAGGTGTAAAAGCTGATAAAGATTAGTGTAATACTTCTCTCAAGGGAATTTGCATGTGTAAGGAGGGTATTAGCCTTTCCTTAAGCCAAAGTAATTACAGTCATCCCTTCCACATTTTGACTTTCTCCATCTTTCCAGACTGTGGGGGCAGGGCATCCCTAAGCCTCACGATGTGGGAAGGGATAACTGTATTTTCTATTGCTGGCATTTTGGGGAGGAACTGTAGTGCTCTGCACACAGTAGGCATTTAACAAGTGTTGAATTTAAATTGAAGTATGGGAGCGGGTAGAAGAAGCATTCCTAATCACTGGGAAGATGGTCACCTAAGGTAACAGGGTTCTTGAGGGAGTTGGGTGGTGCCATAAAGTCCAAGACTTGGAGACAGGAAGACCTGAGTTCAGATATTTACTGGTAGTGTGACAGTGGGCACACATTTTCCTCATCTGTGAAATGGGTATAGTGGAGAGAGCCCTAGCCTTGGCGTCAGGAAGAACTGAGTTCAGATATTCATTGGGAGTGTGATCTTAACTTCTCCATCTCATTTTCCTCATTTGTAAAATGAGGATAGTGACAGCATGTACCTCACAGGGTTGTTGTGAGGACCAAATGAGATCCTATTTGTAAAGTGCATTGCAAACCTTAACAATGCTAGCTATTATTATTCTTCTTAAACGGACAGAGGAATTAGAAAACTTTGAGAATAGATTGGGTTATAGAGACAATCCTACAAAATAAAATTTGGTTTTTGTTGTAGACAACGTTATACTACTTTATATAGCTTGTATTTTATCAGAATTCATGCCGGGATTTTTGATAGTATCTTCCCTGAAGTGTTCTATGAATACAACAATAAAATATGTTTTCTATCCAGCTTCTCCCCTCCTCCAAACTTAACTTTCCCCTTTAATTTTCTCATAGTTATTGGGATAATGTTGCCATAAAGAAGCGAGGAAGTCATAGGGGGAAGAATAGTTAAGGACTCATTTGAGGAATGACTATAATAAGTAACACGGTACATGTCGTCCTTTCTACATGAAAATGACCCATCTGAGCCACTAAGTCCTCTGTCAGTCAGCATGTGCTCTGAGTTGTTTTTATGACTGGGGAAGGAAAGAGGTTTTGCAAAATCATTCTACACCCTTTTACCTTGTCCTCCTTCTGATCAACAGGATATATTTTTGAGACAGCTACTTTTGATTAGGCACTGTGTGTGTGTGTGTGTATCCATGGTATAGAGCTCTTTTTTCTCAAAGCTACTAGGCTTACATATGCATGTAATTGTAACCCACTCTCCTCCTACCTCTGTGTAAAAGTCTTCAGTGACTTTTGCTTAAAGTCCAAACTCCTTAACCTGACAGTTAAAGCCCCATACAACCTGGTGGAACACACTGCTAACTTTTTCAGCTTTATCTCACATTGTTTCTTCATACACACGGCGGGTGTTGCAGGCAAACTAGATTACTTCTGGTCCTTTGAATGTACTCTGAACTTTCCTGACTCCATGCCTTTGTCAATGCTGTTTCCCAGGCCTAGAATGTTCTTTTGCCCTCCCATTCTTTGCCTGTTGAATTCCTCCCCACCCCCACTTTGTTTTTCATTTTAAGGGGATAGGCGCTGGACCTGTGATTTCATCAGTACATAGAAAATCCAGATGAAGAAACCTGCACTGATGCAGCTTGGGAACCTTCTTAGCAAATTGTATCACCTTTGAGAATTGCCTGGAGCAATGATAGTTAAATGACTTGACCAGAGTCAAACAGCTATCAGTATCGGCAATGAGACTTGAACTCTAGTCTTTTTCAACTGTTGCTGTCTTACCTTGGAGATTTTTCTTGTGGCCTTCTCATCCTGGAAGATCTCTCTACTCCTGTAGCCTCCTTCTTTCATTAGTGCACCAGCATCTCTGTTTTGAGGAAGGGCCCAGGTCAACCATTCTTCTTCATTCCTCTCCTAGCTCTGCTTCTGACTGTCAGGACCTCAGCACTATCCCTGGCCCATTTTTTTATGTGTAGACTTTCCCTATCAGAATGTAAGTTCCTTGAGGGCTGGCACTTTCTTTTTCCTTGTATTGGTATTCCCAGAATTCAGCACATGTGTGGTGCATAGTAGGAACTTTATAAATGGTTGTTGACTGGACTTCCTGGCTTGAAAGTCATCTTTCCATCCATTATGTCACACTGCCTCTTATTGCACTAGGCAACATTTATTAAAAACATTTATTTAAAAACGTTTCGGCATTCTAGATATGCATAAATCCATATGCTTCCAATACTGGGAAAAGAATGACCCATTATTGCTGCACTGTCTCTTCATTTGGTTGACAATGATATTTCTGTTTTTTAAAAAATTCATTGCCATGTTTCATTTTTATATTACCTTCATTGTCAAATTACCCTCCTGATACCTAGTGAACCATACCTTATAAGAATAAAAAGAAAAAAAAATAGTTCGGCAAAACCAACTAAATAGTGTTAGACATAAACTGTTTGACAAAAATATATAATAGCTAGTATTTATATAGCACCTACTATTATTTTGTTAAATGCTTTATAAATATTTTCTCATTTGATCCTTACAACAATCTTGTGAGGTAAATGCTATTATTTCTCCCATTTTTACAGATGAGGAAACTGAGGCAGACAGAGGTTAAGTGACTTACCCAAGATCATATACCTAAAAAATGTCTGAGGGTGGATTTGAACTCAAGTCTTCCAGACCCAGAGCCCTGTCTGCTAGTTGCGTATTTGAAATAGTCCAGATTCTCAGTTCCCACCTTTGAAGGAAGGTACATTTTCTTAACTATTCTCCAAGGCCAAGTTTGGCCATCATAATTATAGTGTTCATTCTTTTTGTTGTTGTTGTTAATTCCATTTATATTGCTGCAATTGTTCTGCAAAGTTTTCCTGGTTCTGCTTACTTCAGTGTTCATCAGTTCATATACATCTTCTCACAGTTCTCTTAATTCTTAATATTCTTAAAATTCTATTGCATTTATATACATTTATATCCTTTTGCTCCAGTGACATTGCCATTTTCTGCTTATCCATTTCTTCTTGGTGTCATTTGCTGGATTATATTAATAGTCCTTGTTCTGCACCCTTACAGGAATGTAGACAGGGATGCCTTTGGCTTCTTCCTTAAAATGGAGGTTCTGGAAGGCAATTGACAACATATGACTAGCAAGAGAATAGAGCTGGATATTTAGATTAGGAAGTTATTGGTGTAGAGATTATACTGCCATGAGAAGTCCAAGAAAGTGGGTATAGAGAAAAAGGAGAACGGGTATGAGGAGAGAGCCCTGGGGAACAATTTTGCTAAGAGTTCACAGGGTTGGTCACATCTTTGAACTCATTATTGCAGGTTTCTAGAGAGAGGAAGACGGAAGAGAAGAGCTCACTCTTAATCTTGAGAGCCAGGAGGCTTCATGTGATTGGGTTGTTAGAGCAGGTATTCCTTGGCTTGGGGCACTAGCGACCTTGTCACCCAATGGAATGATGTTGTGACTTATCCTAGCAGCCCTTCAGAAGTACAAGTGAAGAAAAAGGGAGTTGGTGGCACTGAGCCAGGGCTGAAGTTTGGCCATAGAGCAGAATCAAGGGTGGAGGACAGTGTATAACTACACCAGTCAACCATAGGGTCTAGACAAGACTAAAGAAAAAGGAGAGTAAGGCCAGAGCAGGTCGATAGACTGAAAGAACTGGAAGGCATGGAAAGCTTGAAAGTTGCTGTGAGGACACAGAGCAGGAGCGAAATTGAGAGATGAAAGAAGACACCAGAAAGGGAAATTTCTGAATTCAAAATCAAGGAGGTGATGGCGAGGTCTAGGCTGGGGTGTGACTGTCCTTGTGGCTGAAATTGAGGCAAGCTGTTAAATAAAGGATAATGAAGGGGTTGCTAAACTGGCTTTCTAAGCTATTTGAGAGGACAACAAGATGTATGTGGGAGTATGGAAGTAGTGTTTAGAGGACTGCAGTCCAGTACTGAATTCCTTGAGAAAGCAGGAGAAGTGATTTGAAGGTCAGTGGATGGGCAGTGACAAGGACTTGGGCTGGGGGTGTGGATGGACAGACCAAATCCCAAAGGAGGAGAGCTTGCTGAATCAGACGATGCTAGGGGGAGTCCCTAGCACTGGCAGTGGGGACCAGGGGGCACTGGAAAAGAGAGAGATGCCCTAGTGGGTAACTCCTGCGAAGAGCCGGGGGTCTTGGGGATTCAGAGTCCCCACAATGCGCGCACAGAGTCCGAGCTAACCCACTTGCAGAAGCCCAGAGATAAGGATATAAGCCTTGTGAAGGACCTCAGCCCCCGCTCCCCAGCCTGTGCAGCAGCTCGCTTCGGGTGCCTGGGGATGCGCGCGTAGGAGGCCTTTCAGGCAGCGCGCAGGGAGCCAGGAGCCCGGGCTCGGGTGGGTGAGGGTAGAGCAGCAGGCACTGGAAAGAGCGGGCGAGCCGAGCGGCACGTGCGCGCGCCTCCAGAGCGGGCCGGGGAGGGGAGGCCGGTAGGGAGCGCGCACGCCGCCGCTCAGCGCGACCAGGACGCTCGCGCTCGCGCTCTGCTCTTCCCCCCTCCCTACTGTCCCCCGCCCCCCTCCGCACCTCCTCCCTTCCTGCTCGCTCGGCCTCCCTCGCTCACTTCTCGCTCCCCCCTCCCCCGGGCGGCGGCGGCGGCGGAGTGAACGGGACGGGCCCGGCCGAGGGCAGTAGGGCGCCGCGCCGCGCGGCGGAGGACGAAGAGTTGGGATCGCCGCTGCCCCCGGTGAGTGAGGGAGCGGGCGCGCGGGCTGGGGCGGGGGCTGTGGCTGCGGCGGACCCTCGGGGGCCGAGCCCCCCCGGGCAGGCGCGCGCCGGGGGGCCCCCGCCGCTTTCTGGACGCCCCGCCGGCGGGCCCCGGGGCAGGGGCGGGCGCCCCGCGGCTACCCCCGCTCTCCCGGCGCTCGGGGCTCTGCCCGGGCTGCAGGAGAGGCGGGTCCGCGATGGGGCAGGGGCGCGGGCGGATCGCTACCTGCCGGGGGACCCAGGTGTCTCGGTGCCCGTGCTCCCCTGAAAAGTAGCTGATGGAGAAAGCAGGAAAGCCCCCCCACCGCCCCTGGCCTGACCCCTCCCCCTTCCCCTGGCGGTGCCCCGTTCTCTTGATCCCTGACTTCAAAGTTTGGGGGACCGGGGGAACACTTTGCTCCGGCAGCCACCAGTGCCGGGAGGGGGTCTGCCTCCATTCAGTGGGGTTTCCGTACTCGTTACTGGGACTCGGATCAGTTTCCTAGGTGTTCGTGTAATGCGGACAGTATTGCTTTATGAATCCCTTCCCCTTTCCCCCCTCCCGTCCCCTTTCCCCTTAGGTTTCTCAGATTTGGATGGGAAAAAAAAAGTAGTTCTTAAAACAAGAATCTTAATTTACACCACTTGCAGAACTGGATGGAGAGTGATGGAGAATGCCCAGTGCCATGCAGAACTTGTAAGGAGAACTTAAGCTTGCCTTGACAGCCTCTGGCTTTTTGGAAGCTTATCTCAAGGCCTACAAAAATCCCTCTAGTTTAGGGATTTTTAATCAAGTTAAGACTTACTTGCAGGGTATTTGGGTGGTGACAGGTTATTTCGTGTCATACTTCGGAAAACAGCTTTGAAAACTTCTGAACTTTGAAGTATCAAAATTTGGCTTCCATCATCCGATATTGGCATGAAGTTTGCTTGCAGTCAAATTGAAAATGGATTTTGCTTCTGGAAAATTGCTCGCCCCTTGAATATTGGCTTATGTATGACTCAGTATTTCAATGAAGTTAACTATGAAACTGACAGTGAGATGGCAAAGAGCAAAGTCTGAAGTTGAATTTAATGCTATTATGGATTATTGGCACCATCAAATTATATTAAGTGCCTGCCTGCCAGTGGTCTTGTGCAGGGCTTTTGCAAGTAAGGCTGCCCTCTGTACTAATGAAGTTTAATACTCTGCTGTTACATGACATATTATTAATAATCAAAGACTAATTAGATAGAATAGGGTACTTTGGATGTGAAAATGTACAATGAACCCACATTCATGGTAGAATGTTTTAAACAAGGTATACAGGCATCTAGATTTGTTTGTTGTCTCTTCTATTAGATTGTGAGCTCTTTGAGGTCAGGAATTGTCATTTGCCTTTCTGAGTATACTCACTGATTAAGCACAGTGCCTGGCACATAGTAGATGCTTAATAAATGCTTATTGACTGACATTCATGCTATTTAGTTGTGGCAGAACATGGAATTTTGAAACCTGGAGTAAGAGAACTAGATGTCCAATACACATCTTAAACTCAATATGTCCAAAATAGAACTCATTTTGCCCCAACTCCCCCCCCCCCATTAATGTAGAAGGCAACACCATCTTCCCCTTGGGCTCATCACGTAGGAGGCATCCTTGACTCCTCACTATGGCTCACACTGGCCACCCCCCCTTCCCCCCCATCCAAGCTGTTGCCAAGGCCTGTGGATTTCACCTTTGCAAAATCTCTCCCCTCTTCTGCTCCCTTCTTCCTCTGACACTACCATCACTGTAGTGCAAGCCCTTATCACCTCTCCCCTTGATTACTGCACTACCCTGCTGGTGGGTCTGCCTGCCTCAAGTCTCTCCCAGGTTCAATCTATTCTCTCTATTCAGCCTGAAGTGATTTTCCTAAAATGAAAGTCTGAATCATGTTAACTCCCTACTCAGTACACTCCTTATTGCCTTTAGGAGCTAATACAAAATTCTCTGTTATTCAAAGCCCTTCATAACCTAGCTCCTTCCCACCTTTGCAGTCTTCTTGTACCCTTTGATCCATGACTGTGGCCTCCTGGCTGTTCCACAAACCAGACAGTCCATCTCTCCACTACAGGCATTTTCTCGTCTGTCTGCCATATCTAGGATGCTCTTCCTCCTCAATCCCACCTACTGATTTCCCTGGCTTCCTTTAAGTCCCAACTAAAATCCCACTTTCTATGGGAAGCCTTCCCTGACCCCTCTTAATTCCAGTGCTTTCCCTCCTTTAATTATTTCCTATTTGTCCTGTATATAGCTTGCTTTGTATAGATTCATTTGCATGTTGGCTCCATCATTAGATTGAAAACTTCTTGAGTGCAGGGACTGTGTTTTGCCTCTTTTTGTATTCCCAGTGCTTAACACTGTGCCTGGCACATAGTAGGTGCTTAATATATATTTATTGAATTGAAGTGAGAGAATGTATTAACTAAGGGGTGACCAGTAGGTTTTGGAGTGTGTGAACAGGAGTGCACTGGAACTTGTTTTAAGAATTGAATATTATGGATTATTTCTATTAGTAAGCTGATATGTATTGGTCCCATTGATATATTACTAACAATCCAGTCTCTATTGACCTTTCCAGTAGTTATATAGCAAATTTTGGGCCTTAATTTCAGAGTTTCTTTTTATTAGGCCATCTTTGGGAGTCAGGGAACTTCTTCATGTTAAGTCAACTGAGAAAGTCAGTTTAGTATGTAATTCAATTGGATTTTGAGATGGGTGGCTTTTAAGAACCCCAGCTGAAAAAAAAATCTCATCAATTGCCTTAGCCAAAGTAGGAAATACTCACATTACCTAATTACTTTATATTTAAGCAACTCCTAGAGCTATTGTATGATATCTGAACCCAAAGACAAAATGAGAAGGCAGAAAGATTTTTTTCCTCCTGGAATATTGAAAGAGCTAAATTCCGATACAAGTAGTTAAAATATCACTAATTTTAGGTCTTTGAGATTAAAGCCTTGAGGCTTTAATATGCAGTGACCATTCAGTAGTAATTTAGTTCCATTATTTTGAGAATATAATCCTGGAGAATGCCATCTGTTTGCTGCTTCGGTGACTGTCCCTGACATTGTCCCAGTTCAGGGTTACTGTGTTTAAGACTTGTGTCAGTGATTGTAGGGAGATGGAAGTAGGAAGAATGTAGCCTGTGAGATTCAGGAGATTGTTTATTTATCTTGCAGAAGTTGCCATGTGCTCCTTATAGTACAACTTTTACATTATGTATGGGGTGGCCATGGCCTCAGGGTCTGAGTGGCAGCTTAAAACTATTTCATCTGCTGGCACCTCAAGGGCAGCTCAGGGATTTCTTTTGGAAATATAGTCTATTTGCCACAAGACACAGTGGACTTTGAAAATATACGAGCTCATTTTGAGCTGTGATGAAAAGACTCAGTTTTGGAGGGATTTTTAAATTTTGGAAATGATGGAAAAATGCTATTTTTCTGTGACTTAAACTATTGCTTCACGGTATGCATAAGGCAGCATTAATGGAAGAGATGGAGTTTGTTTACTGTGATGACAGTATTTGAAATTGGCTTCAACTTCTTGACTGCCAATGGATACAAAAAAAGGGCACTTCAGAATTAAGGAGAATTGACATTTGTGTATACAGTTCGTCACCCCCCATGTTACCCTCATGGATGTGGTATTGCTCGTTTATTTAAGCAAGTTCAATAATAATTGAGTAAATTATTTTTTAGGTGTCTACTGTGTGCAATCCTCTGTGTTCAAGATGGTTCAGAAATGAAAAAAAACCCCAACTTTAACAGTTTACAGCCTAATGTAGTGAGGAAGAGGCATGTACACAAAATAACTATTACACATAGATATAATTAAATGCATAGGAAAAGAGATAGTAAAGAGTATGATAGATTAAAGTATCACTTTTAGTTGGTGGAATCAGGGAAGAGGGAAGGGAACAAACAATTATTAAGTATCTACTATGTGCCTGGCACTGTACATAAAGACTTGATATCTGAACTGGGCCTTTCTGAAAGGAGAGATTTTGGCAAGCAGAGATTTTGGGTTAGGGACTTGTATATATTATAAGTAAATTAAGGTAAGAGAGAGTAATATGGAAATAGGTGGTAGCTCAGTTTGTAACACAGAATTCACTAAAGGAAGTAAGCAGTATGGAGTGCTGGGTGGAGCTAGATTGTGGAGGGCCTTGAATGTTAGGGTCATAGGTCTAGCTAAAGCTGGCAGGGATCTTAGAGGTCATCAAGATAGGAGGTGTCAAACACATGGCCTACCATACTTCCAACACTCCAGAATGCAGACAGACCAGGTTAAAATGTAATTGGGAAGTATTTAACAAAATAAAGAAAAACATAATAAAACATAGATAATATTACGTTAAAAACCATGTCAGTATACAACTTACAGGGATCCTTATGTAGTGGTGGATCCTTATCTGGTTGAATTTGATACTGCTGATCTAGGCCAACCCTCTCATTTTACAAATGAGGAAACTGAGGCCTGTAGAGGTAAAGTAGCCGAGACAGATACATAATGTGATTAGATCTGAGGATTAAAAAGATTAGTTTGGCTGCAGTGTTAAGGATGGATTGGAGAGAGGGAGAGTCTGGCATCAGGGAAAACAATTAGATGGCTATTATGATTGTCCAGATAATAATGGAAGTAGAAATCAAGGGAAGACTGTATTATGCTATAGAGAATCCATAGGATTAGGCATTTGATGGGATGCTGAAGTTGAGAAGAGGGTCAAATATGACTCTAAAGTTTTGAAGAATGATGCTGCCTTCTTTAGAAATAGAGAATTTAAGATCAAAGGCAGATTTTGAATTCTTTCTCTATAGCTGACTCTGTGTAATTTGGGGGAATTTTTGGTATAAATATTTAGGACTTTCCGAGGATATTCTTTCTTTCTGCTTTTTAATGTTACATTTAATGTAATTTTACATTTCACCTCATTTAAAAATTTTTTTTGGAATAAAATTTTATTGATATAAATTTTA